TGTAGGAGGATTCCCCTGGAATTTTTGACAGTCATGTTGTCTGTAAATAGGAATAGCTTCATTTTCTCCTCTCCAATATGCCTGTGTTTTATTTCCCTTTCTTGCCTTATTGCACGGGCTAAGACTTCCAGTTGTATGTTGAGTAGGCTTGGGGAGGGTAAACATCTTTCCCTTGTTCCCAGCCTTGTGGAAAAAGCATTCAGTCGTTCACCACTGAGCATGGTGTTAGTTGTAGGTGTGACCTACATTGTTAGGTAGATGCCCTTCTTCAGGTTGAGGAAGTTCCCTTCTAGTTTGCTAGAGAAGTTTTCTTCACAAACAAATCTATTTTGTCAAGTGCTTTTTCCTCCTCCATTAATATGTTCATGTGATTTTTCTTCTTTAGACTCTCAATGTAGTGCTTTACATTGGTTGATTTTCTTGAATACTAAACCAGCCTTACAGTCTCAGGAGAGACTCTACTTGGTTCTATTCTTTATATATTACTGGATTTTATTTGTTATCACAGTCCTCATTATTTGTGGATTTTGTGTTTGCAATTTTGCCTACTAGCCAAAAATTATTTATAATCCCCAAATCAATACTTGCATGGTCATTTATGGATGTATGCAGGGGCAGCAAAACACATGAGTGCCAGACGTGAGTTTTCTCAGCTGAGGGTGAACAAGGCAGGATCTGCCTTCTTGTTTCAGCCCGTACGGGAAAGTGTCCTTTTCATGGCCTGTGTAGTGCTGTGTTTTTGCACTTTGTCTTGGTGGTTTCTGTTTGGAACGACCCTGAGTGTGGTGCCAAAGTGCTGCCCAGGCTTGCCAGTGCTGGAGGCCTTCTCTCTGCTGGCTAGCCTTCTCGGGGTTCTCCAGGTGTCACCACTTCTGGGTGCAATATTTTGAATGCCATTCTGTGAGACTGGGGTCTTGCTTCCATCCTGTGGAGAATGCTGGGGTTTTAGCGGCAGCCTCAGTGGCTCTAGTCCCAGGTCATCCCCTTTTCCTTCACCACGTTTTCTGTTTGGCTTTGCTGAGCCTCCTGTCTGGGAGTGGGCCAGTCTGCTGCGCAGGGCATGGATTAGGGTTGCTTCTACATGGGCCTGAGTGCAGGGCTAGGGGTTCATAAACACCTTTGCAGGTGGCTTCCCAGTACTTTCTATATCCCTGCCTCCTGGCTCCCTCCTGGGTCCCTCCTTCCATACCCAGCCTGCATGGCTGCCTTCCTTGAGCCCTCCAACAGACCCTGGCCCTGTTCAGCTGACCGCTGCATAGGGGTGGGACCGGCAGGGGCAACTCCCACAGGGGCTCTGACACCACCCCCCAAATCGACCCTGGTTTCCAGAGACTACTCCATGGGAACTGCCGGTGGAAACCTCTCTCCCTAGCGTGCAGACTTCGTAAGAGGAGCTGTTAGTACAATGTGTCCCTTCTGGAAGCGGGAGGCAAGTGCCAAGTGTGAGTTTCATTCTAGGAGTGAGGGAGCCTTGGAAGCTTCTACATGAGGCAGATTGTACCCCGTGTTGCTGGGCAGAGAAGCAGCTCAAGGGGCTGTAAGTGGAGGCAGGGCTGGAGGACACCCATGGGGGAGGGTGTGGGAGGTGGCTTCCCAGCCCATCCTGCTGTTGGCAGGGGGGCAGGTTTCATGTCTTCTCTCCTCTGCCCCCAGCAACACTAACTGCCGGGAGTGAGCGGCCACACCTCCCGCCACAGCCTATAATTACATATGTCGATTTATCTCCATGTGGAGAGGCTGTTTTCCTCTATTTTACAGGTTGGGAATCACAGCTCGGTGTGACTGGAGACACTCCCCCGCCCTGCTGGGGCATCATGCCCCAGCTCTGTCTTAGCGGGGCACACATCTGGGGCCAAGGAGGGCCCACAGCAGTGAGTGAGGCGCAGAGAGCACAGCGTGGGGGAGACGGGCAGGCTGGCACCGCCTGTGCCCATGCTCTTTGGAGAGACAAGGGTTGTACTCAGGCCTGGCCTTCTGGGTAATTATGAATTAATTATGAAGGTATACATGTCATAGTGGGTGGCCAGACTCCCCTCATCACTGTTCACCTACCTACTCACTTTAAACAAAGGCCTGACCATATTTCCCCCTTAACAATGAGCCTTCGGAACCATCTGCTCCGTCTGGGACAGCGGGCCCTGTGATCAGGCCTGGCCCCAGTCAACGGCATGAACGAGCTGCCCCAGAGGGAGGGAGGTGTTGGCTCAACAGACCTGCCGATTTATCAGCTATATATATATATATATACATATAATACACACACACAATTTCAAGATTTATTTATTTGAGAGAGAAAGTGAGTTGGGGAGGGGCAGAGGGAGAGAATCTCACACTCCCTGCTGAGCGCGGAGCTCCATGCAGGGCTCTATCTGGATCATGACCTGAGCTGAAATCAAGAGTCAGATGCTCAACTGAACCACCCAGGCGCCCCGTATCAGTTATATTTTAAGAGCTGTGGCCAGATTATCCTCCTGAAAGGCTGTATCTACTCACATTACCTTTTCCCCACACATTCACCAGCATAGGGCACGAATGCCCTAATGTTTGTGCCAAACCAACCGGCAAGAAGTAATCACCTCGTCCCTTTTGTTGGCTTTCACTGGGTCCCTAATAGGCTAAGAAGACCATGCATTCATTAGCCCTTTAACTTCCTTTTCTGTGTTCTCTCTCGAGATCTTTACTCATTTCCCCTCTCGACTGCTGTCCTTTACTTAATACCTAAGAGCTTCTTACGTGTCAAGGACCCTTCTGCCCCTCTCACCACCTCTAGCTGCTGGGGCAGGTGGGTGGGTCAGCGCTGCGGTGGCCCCAGCCAGCCTCGGCCCTCACGTCTGCCACACCTTCCCCGCTTGTACTTCTCCAAAATGCTTGTCCACGTTGTACTGGGCTTGTTCCTGGGTAGTGTTTCTCCCACTCGTGACATCTGTCCCTCCACCCTGCTTCTCTTCAGTGGTTATGGGGCAAGGAACGGAACCTTGTGAGCCAGACGTTAAGACCTCGAGCTTCCTGCTGGCAGACCTCCCAGGGCCTTCTCCACCGCAGCTGTCCCGAAGGACCGTGTGGGCTGGACAGTCCTGCTGAAGCAGCCCCAGATCTGCAGCTACAGGGCCTCACGAGGTGAGGGGAAGTGAGGGGAAGGGGCGTAGGACACAGTTTCCAGCTGGTCCTGGGAGGAGGGTTGCAGACAGCACAGGAAATGTGCCTTCTAAGCGCACAGCGTGCAGGTAGCTGGGTCATCTTGGGCAGAGCTAGCCTCCTGGCCTGTGCGTTTAAGACAAAAGCCTACAGACAGAAATACTGGCAGCACCAGGCAGCCTGCAGGTGTGAGGAACAGGGGCGATACGTCATGGCTCAGGCACTGAGAGTGCTAAAAACTCCCAAATAACACAACTTCGTATGTGAGAGCATGTGGACAGGCATCTGGCATCTACGTACCTACAAGCTTACCTATTCCCGTAGATACCGACCGCTTGGCCGCCTGCCCCAGCCCTGTGTGGGATGCCCTGGAAGCATCTGAAGGCTGCAGGGCTGTGTGCCCCTGGAGCTGGCATGCCCACCCCAGGAAGGGCCGCCTGCCCCCAGGATCCCAGCACCCAAGGCCTCAAGCCTCCTAGACTCTACCCACGCTGTCCACTGGTGGCCTCCTGTCCTGCCCAGCCCTTGGTGGCCTTGTATGTGCACATCTGTCACCTGTTGCCCCATCCCTGGACCACTAGAGACCAAGAGCCACCCAGGTAGCCAGGCCCAGCTATGGCAGCAGCAGCTTTGCTACTGGGGGAGAAGCAGCACTGGGCCCATCTGGAAAAGGATGGCCAGCTGGTCCCACGGTCCCTTCCCGGCACCCTGCGGCAGCCATACTGCTGACCAGATGCGGAGAGCGGCCTGAGGGGTGGGTGGCCCTCTGCTTGGTGCCTGGGGGTCTCTGCTCTCACCTCCCGACCCTTCTCGACCCTTTTCCAGGAGCACACCCCTCTGCCCCCTGCGGCTCTCTCAAGAACCTGCTTTTCTCCATTCCCGCCGCTGCCAGATCCTCTCATGCAGCGTGCCCTTGGCAGGGGAGGTCTAGAGGCCCCACGCAGCCCTCTCTGTCCAGGAAGGCATGGCAGCAACCTTGGGCCTGCAGGACCCGGAGTTTCTGGGCCCAGGGAGGTGGAGTGGACGGTGCGGAGAGGAGAGCCAGGCGGTGGCCGCAGCGGAGGGTCAGGTTTAATGGTCACTCTAAGGGGTATCGTACATCATTCAGAGCCCAGCACACGCCCCTGCTCCTCCCTTAGCTGAGGACAGAGCCAGGGGTCCTCACACCCAGGCTCTGCGGAAGGGGGCCTGCCCCCGAGCCCCAGCTATGTACAAGAACCAGCCCCACCGGGCCCTAGAGTCCACCGCTGCTCAGCGCCGCTGTGAGGTCCAGGCACCCACTGCTGTGTGCGGTGGGGTTCCCACCCACCGGGGCCCAGCCCCGGCCTGCCCCTGCTGTACCCTTTGCACTGGGAGAGGACTCCAGACCAAGGCTGGCAAAAGCTGAACTGCACTGCAGCGTCAGGAGGCTGGGCGGCTGCTGGAGGACGGGGAGCGGGCAGGGCCCCGCTCAACCCAGAGCCTCCTCTGAGAGAAGGGGAGGCGTGTCCCCTCCACGGCTGCCCAGACACCCCTGCTGGGCCGGTGAGGCTGAGGTCAGAGGAAGCAGGGGTGGCAAGAGGGGACAAGCGCAGACCATCAGGGCCTCGGCCAGGGCCGGAGCCCGGCCGGACAGCTGGGCAACACTGCCCCACAGACGGGCCGCCCTGGTGCTGGTGATCGAATGGGGCAGGGCTAGGGGGCTGGGGGCAGAGAAGATCCTGAACACACACTGGGCTGGGTTGTCTACACCGTAACTGGTAACATAGCACTTAACTATTCAACTAATAATGCTGCTTCCCTTTGAACTGTTTCGGGGCTATGAAAATTGCACTTATTTCTAGGAACCCGCAGAAAGGAGCCTCCCCAGTGCTGCAGCCTCTGGGCAGGGCCTAAGCCCCATCAGCGCCAGGCCGCCGAGCACCCCCTGGCCACGCGGGGGTGAGGCTCGTCCCGGGCCACAGGGGCCATGACCTCAGTGGCCTGGGGTGCAGTGAAGGCCAGACCCCCAGGAGGGAACCTGAGCAACATCTGAGAGTGCCCTGAAGCGGCCGTGAAGACTGGGACCCACGCGGTCCTGGGCCACACACAAGGGGCCCAGCCCTAGCCGCTGGTCCACGGAAGCAGCTGGGTGGCACGGCCCTCAGAGAACATCCTCAAAGTCCAGCAGCTTCGAGTGCTGACGGCTTTTCCACAGGCGGTACAGCCGGAAGTCAAAGTAGGTCTCAATCATCTGCTTCCCTGGAGCACAAGAAGAAAAGCCAGGGTTCAGGCCTCACCCCCTGGACCCCACCCCTTGAGCTGGGAACCAGCCTGGCGAGCTCACCTTGGGCCGACAGCTCCAGCGGGGACTCGAAGGTGACCCTGTAAGGGGTCATGAGGGTCCTGAGGTTCTGGAACAGCTGAAAGGGCAGGGCGGGGCCGTGAGTTCAGGACAGGGGAAGGGAGGAGGTGGGGGGGTTTGTGGGGGGGTAGCAGGAACCCCCCCCATCATTGACTGGGTTCAAGCACAGGGAGCTTCTGAGGGGCTAAAAAAGAGAGAACAATAGAAGAAAAATGAAAGCTTTTCAACTCTTTTAGTGGGTCTGGGGTTTCCAGAAGCCTGGGGCAGGGTTTGGGGGTCCCTGTACCTTCTCCCCGTTGGGGTTCCCCAGAATGTAGCAGCCCATGATGTGGATGACGTTCGGCTCTGGGTTCACTTTGCTCATCAAGCGGCTCAGGCGCTTCCAGAAGCTGGTGGGGGAGGGCTGGGTCACCGGCAGCCTCCAGCCCAGGCCCCCACGTGTGAGGAGGCGCAGGCCAGGGTCCAGGACCCGGCTCCAGAGACAGGGGCATCATGGGGAGGGGCTGCAGGGATGGGGTGTGCAGATGGACGCTGCCTCGAACTCCCCTATCCAGCCCTCCACAGGCAGCCCTGCTCACTCACTGGATCATGTCCTCCTCTTTCTCCACTTTGGCAAAGGTGGCCACCTTGTTCTTGAGCAGGTACAGGTGTCCTGGGCCGCCCTGTCAGACACTGTAGTTGGCCACGTGGGGCGTACACAGAGGGCGTCCGTTCACTGCCCCCCCATCACACAGACACGTGGTCATTCACACATGCGCACGGAGGCTGCAGTCTCAATGGATACCCCCACTCCACCCCCCCAGCAGGAAGGGGCCGAGCCCTACCTGGCAAAAAATCAGCATCTTCCAGATCTTAGCCCCCTTGTGGTAGATGTTCAGCTTTTTCTCTATTTCCTCTAGGGAGGAAGGAGTGTGAGCTGTCCCCTGGTGCCCCCCCACCCCCACCACGGCCTGTAGGTAAACCCCCACACCCAGGATCAGAAGAGAGTGGGGCTGGAGGGCACATACCCAGAATGTCCTCAAAAGTCGCGTGCTCGTGATCCTGAAACACACACAGGCCACACTCTGGTCAGAGCCCCTCTCGGGCAGGCAGCCCCACCCAGCCCCGGGGGCTGGGGGAGAGACACTCACATAGAGGATGGGGATGATGGACGGGTCGTCCCTGCGGATGATAGTCGGGATGTACTCAGCTTTGGGCACCTTGGAGGAGATGAGCTGCCGACAGCACAGGATGCTGCTCAGGGCCCAGCTGCCCTGGAGCCCATGGGCAGTGGGAGGCCCCAGGAGGTTGCCCCCCACTGCTGGGCAGCCTGTGATGGCTGCATCATTTCCAGGTAGAGCCAGCTGGGCTCCTGGAGGAAAAAGGACCCCGCCCCCGCCAGCCCAGGACCGGCTAGAACAGGAATAGCGTAAAGACACCCAACCTCACCATGACCTTGGGGGGCACAAAGCCCGCGGTGTCGCAGGCCACTGCCTCCAGCCCCTTCTCGGTCTCCCAGTCCAGATCCTCGAAGGCCTCACCCAGGGTGCAGTGTGAGCTCTGCAGGTCACTACCTGAGGGGCAGGATGGGTCACCAGGGCCGCGGGCCTCCGGCGGCACCTCCACTCCCGGCTGTAACCCGCAGACACGAGTGGTAGACAGAACCCGCAGTAAAGACTCCCGGAAGGTCCTCCAGGCCAAGGGGAAACCCAGGGTGGGGGACAGCGACCAACAGAGGCCACCACCAGCCTGGCGAGACCGGCCGCTGTCCCCCACCCCCACGAGGCTGCACTGTGGACCCCCGCACAATGCCAGGAGGGCCAGGCCAGCCGGGGCCCTGGAGCCAGCAGCGGGGCAGGGCAGCCCCCGGCCCCTCAGGCCTCCCGGAGCTGCGGCAGCACACAGCACCCTGCCCACGAGGTGCCCCCACCTCACAGATGGGTAAACTGAGGCTCAGAGAGCGGAAGCGCAGAAGCCTAGCTGCCCGGGCAGGAGGCCCGCCCTGCGGAGCGCGGGAGCTGGGGGCCTAGGGGAGCCTCTCGGGGCAGGTGGGCCGGCCTGCGCCGGGCACCTACTGTCTCGGGAGTCGTGGGAAGTGTCGGCTTTCATGGGGGTGGGGTCGCTCCAGGACCGGCTGAAGCTCCGCTCGCGCCGCTCGGCGAACGCTGCAGTGAGAGCAAAGCGGCGTCAGCGGCCGGAGCGGGGGCGGGAGGGGCAGAGCCTGAGCGGACTCCGAGCCGCAGGGCCCCACGGCCGGGCTGGACCCACGGCCGGGCTGGCTCCGGGCCGCGCTCGTGGCTGGGCCGTCGGAGGACGTCAGTCCGGGGCGCCGGGGCCGGGTTTGGCGTGCGGGGGCAGGGGCTGGGGATCCGGCCCGGTGGCGCAGGGCTAGCTGCGGCGCCCGAAGGCGCCAGCGCGGGCGGCGGAGTGAGCGTCGGGGCCAGAGGCCGGGCGCTTGCGGAGAGGCCGGGGCGGCAGGAGTTGTGGGCGGGGTTGTGGGTGGGGCCTGGAGCCTGAGGCGGGGGTTCCGTCGCAGGGCTAGGGGCGGGGCCAGAGTCCTGGGTTCCCGGGTGGAGCTGGGGAGGGGGTTTAGGAACGCGGGTCTTTCCGGCGCAGCTAGCAGCCCGCGAAGCCCCAGCCGGCCGAGAGCAGCGCCGCCCACCTGCCCACCTGCCCACCCTCCTGCCCTGGGTCTTACTCTGGGCCTTCACCCTCCGGCTGCCGACCATGCGCAGGTGTTTGCGGAAGTTCCTGGGGAAGAAACACGGGGCCTGGTAAGGATCGCCAGAGTGGGTGGGCGGCGGACCGGTCCCCCATGCTCCCTGCTCTTGGCGCTACTGCCCCGCAGCCGCACCTGACGTTGCCTGAGGCTCTGCCTTCGTCTCTTTAGGAAAGAAATGGCTCGCGCCCCTGCGCTCCCCCACTCGCTCACCGCCCACTCAGGCGCAAATCCCACTCAGTCCCTGTCATGCTGACACCTTTCCAGGGCTCCCCTTTGCTGCCAGGACAAAGGCACAGTGGTCAACCCTTCTCTTGCCGTCGCCCGCATCGCAGGACCACTCCCCTGGTGACTTCCCCCGCCTTCAGGCCCCCACCTCCACTGCCCACCCTTCCATTCCCTCCGGGCCCAGGCACACTCAGAACCCCACCAGCCTCCCTCTCCAAGTGGTCGAGGGCTCCCGCTTCCTGTGCTCGGGGACCAGGGCAGCACGACTGTCTGCACCAGCCTCAGGTAGGTTTGGGGCCTGCAGACACTCCTTCCCCTGCTCTCATGTCCCTGGGCCACCTCAGAGACAGGTCTTCTTCACCCCCAAATGTGTGCCCTACCCAGGTTCAGCGTCCAAGATGGACAAGGTTTCTGGCCACATCTCTGAGGTGGGGCTTGGGGAGGATAAGCCTTGTTGCTGACCCCACAGCTCTGGGGTTCAAGGGGCAGGGAGGGACATGGGTGGGCTAGCTGGCTGGAGCCCCACTGTCAACATACCCCCAAAACACAGGCCTAGGGGGCCCAGGTTCCATGACCTCTCCTGCCTGCTGCGTCCCCAGAGCAGGGCCAGGCCAGTGGTCGCCACCGCCCTTCCCCCATCAGGTCTGCCAGGGCCCAGTGGGTCCAGGCCAGACCAGCACAGACAAGAGACGGACCCTGGTGGCGAGTGGCTGGCAGGCCCTACCTCTGGATTACAGACGCGGAATCATTCTCCCGTTTCCGGCGCTTCCTCTCCGCGTAGCCCCTGAACACCCTGGGAAACCACCACGAGTCAGCACTGCCCTTGGCCGCAGGTAGGAGGGACCGAGACGTGGGGACAGAGGCGTGAGCACAGGGCCTGGAGGGGCATCCAGGGCGCCGGGCCAGGCAGAAGGGTCCTGGCCTGTCTCACCCTGTCCTCCGCCCTGCTCCTGGCAGGCCCTGCTGTAGCCTTGGTGCTTGCGGGGATGCAGCACTCCCTCACAGTCAAGGCCCAGGTCCCTGGCCTGCCCAAGCCTATCTGGGGGTAGGAGGGTCCCCCAGGGACAACCACCGTGCTTTTAAGCTCCAGGTCCCACAGGGTACTTACGAGATGCTGGAGGTACGGCGGGACGGGGCAGCGTAAGAAAGAAGACATAGTGAGCTACGACCCCGGCAGCCCCCTGAGTTCCCTGTTACGGCCCTTGTGATTGACTCCGGGTGCCCCTCATTCATACTCTGGGCACTAGCTATGTTGTGGGAAGCCCATGAGAGGGCCATGGCCGCAGAGGTCACGGGCTCATGCTACCAGGTGCTGTGATGTGGTCATTTCTGCTGGGTCTGGGCCTGGTGGCAAAGGTGGCAGCCCCCAGCCAGCCTGGGGGCAGTGCTGGGCTCCCCAGAGCAGGATCGGGGGGGGAGCTTCCTCAGTGTGGGGGACACTGCAGCAAAGGGTGCCTCTCTGAAAGGAACTCCGTGTCTGAAAACCCAGGTACATGTCCCAGACAGAAAGGAGCCGGCCCCGCAGGGGACTCCTGAGGTGTGATCCCTCAAGGTGCATACAGGGTACAAGTCCACTGCTGTCTGAGAGCTGAGATGAGGCAGTGGCCTGGGAGAACCACCCCCACCAGTGACTGTGTCAGCTGCAGCCCTGGCCCGGGTCCCCAGAGGACCATCAAAGGGGACGGCCAGGAGAGCAGAGGGCAGGGCAGTGCGGAAGGGAGGGGTGGTAAAGGGATGGGGCATGGGAGGGGCAGTGGGAGGCTGGGGGAGGAGAGCAGCCAGCCAGCCCTGCCTTCCCTGAGACTGATGTCACATCTGGCAGCCATGGTGGGACATGGGCACGTGGGGCTGCTCGGAAACAGTCAGGCAGGTGGGCCCGGCAGGCGGGAGAGGGTCCAGCAGTACTTCCTGAGTACCAAGAAGAGCCCCTGGCCCAGGCCTCACGCCGTGGGCGCATATCAGGTACACGACTCACGCTTGCATAGTTGTGGTTGCTGTCTGGAAACTGAAGAGGTTTTCCTTGGGGAACCAGGTACGGATGGGGGTGTCATCTGCAAGACAAAAGAAGTGGCAAGGGTGGCTTGGGGGTTCCTAAAGCCTTTACTTCCACCTGCCAGGGAAGGTGATGCTTCTGCCAAAGCCAGTGGAGGAAAAGCTCCAGGGTCCCCTAACCCTCTCCCAGGTGGGCGGACCCTGGCATGGGGCTCTAAGGGAGCATGTGCCTGCTCAGCTGTTCATGCTGAGACAACTCAGCAGCTTCGTGACAGTCAGTCTTTGCCCAGCTCTCCCTGGGGCTGCCTACAACGGAAGAGCATTCCTTTGAAAGCACAGTCTGTGTCCAGGGGGCCCAGAGAAAGGATTCACTTTGTTTCTCTTTGCAGAGGAGGAACAGGGCAGGGGCAATGGCTGCAGCCTTTCCTGGGGGCTCTGGGGCCTTCTCTGCAGCCTGCACACTCCATTCCCTTGGACCGTTCCAGGAGGGTGAGGTAGAGGCCCTCCCCCAGCATGGAGACTGTCTTGCTGAGGGCTGCCCCTTCTCAGGACCCCTACAGCTCCTAGATGGGGTGGATGAAAGTTTGCTGTACTTTCTCACCCTGACCCCTGCCCCAACCCCTAGGTGTCCATCAGAGAAGCACAAGATCATGGAGGTGAACTGCCCACACCCCCGGCCTGTGCCCTGGGAAGCCCAGGAGGTATCCTGGGATGATGTGGGGGCTCAGCTAGTTAGCACTCTGCTTTTCAGGATGTGACCCCAGAGCCAGGAGGCATGGGGCTGCTCAAGTATCTTCTAGACACAGTAAGCCTCCAGGGCTCACCAGCCAGCCACACAGCTCAGCAATCCTGGGGAGGCACCCAATACCCGGCCAGGCCCCAGACAGCTTCCTGAGGTTACTGGGAACTTCATTTGTTGGAACCCAGGGCAGGGACTATTCCCCAGGACTACCCAAAGGCAGCCTCGTTTTCTAATTAAGCCACGTTTTCTGTGTGCTCAATCAAGACTCTCCTAATCCCCCTCCTCCAGGAAGTACTCCTTGACTGACTCGGTGCTGCGGGGCACCCACACACCCTCCACCTGTCCAAGCCTCGTAGTGGTGGTTGCCAGCAAACCCCAGCATCAGCTCCCTGCCCCCGAGCCTGCCCTCACCAGACACACGGTCAACACTGTACATCCTCTCCAGCTTCTTGCGGCGGCTCGTGGCCTCAGGCAGAGGTGGCTGGTCCAGCCCAAAGGCCCGAGGGGAGGGGCTGGGACCAGGGGCCAGCTGGGCGCATCCCGGACATTCTTTGGAGCCCTGGCGGCTGCCTGCCCAGCTCTGGCACGGCCTGCTGACGTCCTCACGGCTGCCCCCCGGGCTGGCACGCAGGGGCTGGCTGTGGTGGTGGGGGTGCCGTTCCTGCTGCCGCCGCCCCTTCACCACGGCCAGCTCAATGGCCTCGGCCTCCGGGCTGGGCAGCAGGGCTGGCTCCCCAGAGATGGTGTACACACGGGGCTGGGGGCCCTCACAGGCCGGCTTCCCGCCGACAGCCTCCTCTGAGAGGCTGCCCTCGTAGCGGCCATTGGAGACGAGGGAGAGGCGACGCTTGTTCTGGGGGGCTGGCTGCATCTCGGGGGACCCGTCGTGGCCAGAGTAGGCATCAGCCAGCAGGTGGTCTGGGGGAGAGGCACCAGGTGAACTGCAGCCCTCAGGCCCTGCCCTCCCATTCTCCTGGTGCGGTGAGGGCAGAGAACACCCAGTGAGTGCCTGCCCCGGATGGGGGAGACCGGAGCTGCCCTCCAGCCCCAGTGCCCAAACGCTAAGCCCCTGCTATCTTCGGAAAAGGTGTTTGCGAGCTGCGCACTCCTCTTAGAGGCTCCCACCCTCCTCCTACCTGGGCCCCAAGCTCTGGGTGTGCGCGTGGGGGTGACAGGCTATACTACCTGCGGTTGATGGTGGGGGATGGACGGGAATAAACAGGCCACCTCCCAGCCTGCCACTGCACCCGTGTGCCCAGTGCCAACTTCTCCCTTCCCCCCCACCAGCTGGCCCCCAGAGACAGCGGTGCCAACCCTGGGGGTGCCAGGAGGCCTGTTGCCATGCCAACGGCCCAGGCTGGGTGGGTGCCATGGTGATGAGTGACTCTGAGCTCCTCCTGGGGCTCTGGGCCAGGGAGGGCAGGGGGCGTGAGGAAGCCAGCCCAGCAGCTCACAGCCCACCAGCTGGGCCAGGCCTGGGGCAGGGGACAGCAGCCCTACGTCGTGGGGGTGGGGTGGGGCTGCGGACCAACCCGGTCCTGGCACCTCTTCGAATGCCCCTACCTGCACCGTTCCGATTCTCAGGGTGACTCTGGGACAGGTACTCGCCAAATGCTCGGGCTGCTCTGAAGGGTGGACATTGGGGTGCTCTTTCAGTGCACCCAGGGCACTCTGGACTCTTCCCAAAAGGGAGCCTGGGGTCCCCACCCCCACCCAGGCCTCGAGTACCAGCAAGGGGAGGGTCGGGGTCACTCACGGCAGACCGTGCCGTCCCACCCCCAGAAAACCCAGGGCTAACAGGTCGCAGTTCCAGGGACCCTTGGGTCCCAGTGCAACGTGGCCGGGGCCCGGGTCAGCTTTCGGTCCAGCCCCCGTCACTGTGTGTGTGTGTGTTGGGGGGGAGGTCGTGAGGTCGGGCATCTCACCCCCAGCTGTCTCCGGGAGGGGAGCCGCGCCGAGGTGGGGGTGCGAGTGGGGGAGGGAGGCGCGGCGAGAAGCCCCGCCACGGGGGAGGGGGCCGGGCGCGGGGGAGACGCCGCGGGGGCCGGGGGCGGGCGTTGAGCCCCGGCCGACCCGCCGCACTCACCGCACTTTGGCCGCCACCGAGGACATGGCCTCGCTCCTCAGCGCCCTCCTCCGGGAGGCGGCGGCGCCCATGGTCGCGGCGGCGGCGGCGCATCCCCCGGCCTCAGAGCGCGCCCCGCGCCCGCCGCCTCCGCCGGGGTAGCCGCACCGCTCCGGGGCTCCGGCTCGGGCCCGGGCCCCGCATGGCAGCGCTGAGCAGTCCGCGAGTCCCGCAGCACCGGGAGAGCACTGCCGGGGCCGGGGCCGGTGGCTCCGCCCACCGCGACGTCATGGACGGGGCGGGGCCGGGGCTCCGCCTACCTCTACGTCACGCCTGGAGGTGGCCGCCCATGACGTCGGGGCCTGGCGGGGTCGTCCGGAGGGGACTGGGGCGGTGGCTCCGCCCACCGTGCAGGCGCTGGGGAGGGGGACGCCGAGAAACAGGCTGGCGGTCACTTGACTGTAAGGTCCTAGGCCCTCGGGTCAGGGGTCTCCCTGCCCCTTGGAGACCTGCAGGGGCTGCGGGCCCCAAAGACGCAGGGCCGGAGTTGTCCCTCCTTTTATACAAAAGGGCTCCCTGGCGCTATTTAATGATCCGAGGCAGCGTGGGCGGCATACGACCTAGGAGAGCAGCCCGTGTACTGCGGGGGAAGATGCCTGCGAGACCAGCAGTGGGCTCCTTCTTGGTTCGAGGGGCACCCCAGCTCCATGTGGACCCTGGGTGTCCGGCCTGCCTGGTCAGTTGTTGCACAGGGGTGCCTGCGGCCCCCACATAGTGACTTCGGAGGACAGCAGGTGATGCCACACCCAGTCCGGACTCAGGGATGCGCCCCCACCCCCCTACCCCACGGTGGACCGGTGATGGGGGCCGCGGCTGCTCCCTGGCTCCGGTCAGGCCCATCGTGTTGCTCTCTGCCACAGGGACCTTGGCAAGGGACATGTCCACACACAGATCTACCTTTATTGACACATCAAGCAGGTGTACCAGGGGCTCCGATATCTCTCCGAGGCCTCCCGGAGCCCCGCAGGGGCGGACACAGCCCCTGGGATTGCTGTGTGCACAGGGGGTGCCAGGACCGAGAGCCCCACCAGAAGCTGCCAGTGCAGATGGGCCAGAGGCACCCTGCGCAAGCTTGGGTTCCAGCACAAGAGAAGGTGGACTCAGTGGTTCACGGTGCCTAGGCCCCAGCCGGTCTTCCTGGCAGGCTGGGAAGAGCCCCAGGAGCTGTAGGAGCCAGGGTCTCTGAGGGAGGCCCATAGCAGATGCTGCTCTAGGGTGCGTCTGAGTGGAGACCTCTACCCATCCTGGTCAGAGCGCTAGGGGTAGGAGTCCGGGGGCAGTCCTGGGAAGCCAGACAGGCTCCGATGCCGAAGTGAGGACTCGTCGTCCTGGAAGCAAACAGCACAACGTCATGGTGGGGGTGAGCCTGGAGGGCTGACCCTGGGCCAGGTTTCTCTGGCTCTGTGCTGCAGGGCAGCAGGGAGGGAGCAGCTGGCCTGCTTGGAGCCCTCAGAGCTGACTCAGCCCAGGGGCACAGGCAGGTCCGGGCAGCTCACCGAGTCCAAGCCCACGCGGGCCGGGGCACTCTGGAAGTCAGCATATGCATCCTTGGGACCGTCTGGCAGTTCCTCCTCATACTCAGTCTGGTAGTCAGACTCATCTGGACAGAGCGGAGGGCTGTGTTGGTCCCCTCCTGAGGGCAGGGGCCGTGGCATGGTGGTCATCAGGCTCCAGGGCTGCTAGAGGGAGCCTGGTGGCCAGGGCGGCTTGTTGGGCATGCCAAGGGTTAGAAGGAGACGCTGCCAACACCACCACCCTCAGCTATGCGGGTGTGTGACCTGAGCATCCAACTCACCGTCCACTGTGGCTACCTTGGCGGGCTCAATGCGTGACACAATCTCGGCAAGGTCAGTGAAGGAGGCGTTGGGGCAGGTGAGGACCTGGAGGGCCGGGATGGAAGAGACATGTGGCCAAGGCCACAGCTCCTCGGGTCCCCAGACCACAGCCCTTGGCTGCCTGGCCAGGCCCCCAGCGCCTCTCTGCAACCCTCTGTGGTCCTAGCCTGCTGAGGTGCCCAGACCCCTGGAGTTGCAGCAGGGGCGTGGAAGATGAGCAGAGGCCAGCGCAGGCCCCCACCCTCTCCTACTACGAGCAGCAGAGAGCCAAAGTGGGGCAAAAAGAGGGGGTGTCGGGGCAGAGGCCAAGAGATAGCTACCCCAGGGCCGCACCCCTGCCCTTGTCTTCTGGCCCCTGGGGGAGTACCAGAGGCCTGAGCAGCTTGGTGTGGGGGGGTGCCAAAGTACTGCAGGCTGCAGGGAGCCCTGCACCTCTCAGGCCCACTGCGGCAGGCAGAGGACCGGTCGCAGGAGGAGGGAAGGGAGAAGGGGTGCTAGCTCGGGCACTCACATCACATGCCTTCATCTTGCTTGTCCCCTGTCGGTCCTGTAGCATCTTTTCCAGCACACCACTCCGACCCCAGATGTCAAACACTGTCCGCCCATGCTGGTACCCCACTTCCTGCACACACACCACGAACCCCGGGACCAGGTGTCAGGAGGCCCCACTTCCGAGCTCAGAAGTGAGGGCAGGCAGGCACCGCACCCTGCAGGCCCTCTGCACCCCAGCTGCACTCACGCAAATCTCGTTGAACTTGCCGAAGTCCAGAGTGCTGTAGCTATCGATGGGGGGGCGCAGGTACTCACAGTACTCACTGTTCTTCACCATCTCCAGCTGCCGGACGCAGCACACATAGGCCAGGCGGGTCTGGATCTCCGCCATGTTCAACACCTGCTGCCGTCGAAGCATCTGAGCGAGGCTCTGCGGGCCCCCCACGGCTCCAGGGACCCCGTACGGGCACAGCTGCCTGCGCCTCCCACCCTGGCCCTTTCCCTCCCCTCTCCCAAGGGGAGACACATCTCTGCTAGGCCTGGGAGGAGGGCAGGTGCCCAGCCAGGGATCCTGGAGATGGATCCTGGCGGGTGGTGGGCCTGTCCCCTTTCCCTAGAGCTGGTCCAGGCAGGATCCTGGCAAGGACAGTGAGCAAGTGACTGCAGCCCCGTGGGCCTTGGAGCCCGGAATGCGCTACAACCCTCCTCTGCCCACAGAGGCATTTGGGCTGCACCACGTTGCCCATCTTGGGGACAGAAGCCACAGGGGAGCACCTGGCCACCTGGCACTGTGCAGAGCTATGCCCCCACCTTGACTTTTGAGGCCAAGGGGTTCCAGCGCTTCCAGAGCAGCCACCACCCAGACAGGGCGTCGCCATAGTTGGTGAGGTCCGTCTCGTCCTGGCTGCCCACGTCAATGGCAATCACCACCTTTGCTCCCATAGACTTGGCCACATCCGCTGGGGAGAAAACAGCCTAGGTCACCACCCAGGACAGGCATGCAGAGCCCCAGGTGGGAGCAGGGCTGGGGGCGGGGCAGGGATAGAGCCTGCAAGGGCCAGAGGGTCTCCTGTCCAGTGTCACTCCTGGGCCTGTAGAGGGGCAGCCTAATGCACAGAACTGTCCAACAGGTGACAGGTGTGCCCGAGGGAGGGGCCTCGCCCACAACCCTGGCACTTTCTGGCTGTTAGTTCCAACTGTGGGCACAGATGGGACATAATTGCTCTCAGCTCCTCTGCTTGGCCTTTGTTCTGAGTGCTGCTGAGCTGACAAACAGGGCCATATGCTGGGAGCACACGATGCCCAAGTGTGTGTGCACAAGGGCATGTGTCTGCATGTGCCTGTGCGTGTTCTCTGGGCTCCATGAGCACACTCTGAGGACGAGTGCCACCGGCCTTCCTGGGAGTGGAGGTGGGTGCGGCAGGGTGCGGGCGGTACCTGGCAGGTTGTTGATGTACCCCCCGTCCATCAGCAGGTGTCCGTCTTTGGGATCACAGAGGGGAGGCATGTAGCCTGACAGAGACATGCTGGCACGCACGTACCTCCACAGGGAGCCTGGGAGAGAGTTGCGGGGGGGGGTGGTTGTCACCAGAGCCTGCCAAGGGGCAGGAGGGAAGCCTTTCGCTGCCCACAGTGGGTTCCTGCCCTGGACCCTTGGCTCAGAGCCCTGCCAGCATGGGCTCCTGAAGTCTGCACGTCTGGACAGACAGACACACCTCCTGTTCTTCCTCCTTCACAAGGGAGGCTCTCTCCATAGAGGGAGCATGGGGAGGGCCAGAGGCCCAAGGGAGGCCCGGCTGGTTCTGCAGTCTCCCCACATTCTGCTGTGAGCCCCACCATCCCACTCACCTCCAAAGAGACACACGCACTCAGCTCACAAACCACTTTGCCCTGGAAAAGGGCCCTCAGCTGCCACCCACGTACTGGCCTTCTCACGGTCCCCAGCCCAGCAGTCTCCCACCAACTGCTGATCTGAGCCCACAAAACACATGCCCTGCATGTGCCCTTCACCCCGCGCCCCCCGGCCTGAGCGTGCCCTTCACCCACCCCAGCCCAAGCGTGCCCTTTGTCCCCCACCCCAACCCGAGTGTGCTCTTTGCCCCCCACCCCCCTGCCCGAGCGTGCCCTTCGCCCCCCACATCCCCCAGACATGAGTGTGCCCTTCGCCTTACTCCTCTCCGCTCTCAGTTCACATTGTTATCTCCACCTTTCGGTGTCCAGTTTGGGCTTGTGGGTGCTTCCAGACTCTTGGTTCTGTCCCTACCCGTTTCCCTCACGCTCATGGCAGGATCCTCTCTGGGTTCAGACCTCCCTGAGCTCCTTGCCTCCTTCAGGTCATCTCGGTGCTTCCTCTGGTTCATGGAGCTTCCAGGTTCCCTGCCTGCCTGCCCCCTGCACCCCCCCCGCCCCCCGCTGAGCTGGTCCTTCAATACCCTTCCCGAGCCACGCTGCCCCGAGCGGGAATGGAGGTGGGGGGCGCTGTGCCCTGTGCATGTCTGAGCCCGTATCAAGGGGAACCCAAGGAGGAGGTGCTCACCGTCCGTGTGGACCCGCATAGCGGAGGCTGTGATGTCTGTAGTGATGGTGAAGTAGGGGATCCACAGGTCCTGCAAGGGGACAGCAAGACTCAGAAGGGCCATCCTCCCCCACCGCCAGCCCTCGACCCTGCAGGCCTGGAGGCTCAAGGGGATGAGGGAGGTCCCTGCTTGGGGGGGGCACCTCGATCTGCCGGTCCTTGAAGACACTACAGATGCTGCTGTTAAGGCCGGCCCCCGAGAACATGGACGTGATAGGGTAGGTCAGGTCCAGCACAGTCTTCACCATCGATGTCATGTCCTGAGTGGGCAGGGCACACATGAGACCCCGGCAGAGGATGATCCCATGGGACTCAGCCAGG